GTGTTAATCACTCGCTAAGTTACATTGCGTATAACGATCAAACGTTATTTATTAATAGTAATCAATTTTCTCATCTGTATGAATTTCGTATAGAATAGAAACAATATACAGTGAAGAACATAATTGTACCACTGTTGTAACTTTGTAAAAATCCATTGAGTTTTTTTAAAGATGTTTTTGTCTCATGTAATAGGTGGGAAAGTTTCCCCAAGAACTGTACAAATCTCTAGAAACATTTTTTTCACGACTAGATCTCTACCACGGTTTTGAAAATTGAAATTTTCTCTTTACAACAATCTCTTGAAACTTACTGTACGATTATTTTATCGAATTCTGGATATTAAGGTAATAAACGACAGAAATTACAGAAATTCCAATATTTCAGTCCCAACATTTCTACTTCAATAAAATGAAAAAAATCGTACAAGTTTTAGAGAAGTCGTTGTAAAGGTAAGATATTAATTTTCAAAGTGATGATGAATTTAATTACGGAAGAAATTTTTCAATGTTCTCAGAGACGTTTGAATTTTTGACAATAAAAGTATCCTCATTTCCCTACTTTACCATTTCTCATCATCTCATATGGCATAAAAATGTCTTTGAAAAAAATCAAAGTAAGGGCCTCACATTTTAAAACGAGGCCAAATGAATTGTCACATGAATTTTTTATTACCAAGTTGTACCCAGTTTAAAACAATTTTTCATCCTTAATTGTTCATAATTATGTTCTGCTCTTCATGTAGCTCAAGTTTTACATTAATTCTAGAAAATTAAATTATTACGCGTCCAGGTGATTATTCGCGTTGAATTAAGAATTATCTAAGAAACTCTATCGAGCAAAATGATAGCGAAAAATAGCGAGAGAGAAAATATTAAAAAAGAAAAAAAAAACAACGACATAATTAAGAAAGTACTGTTTGTAACGTAATTTTCTGTTGCATACGAAGGGTGGATGGAAAAAGCATCGTCGAGCATTCAAGGTTTCTATCATTCATAGGTTTTCCAAAAGTGTTGTGTTGTTTTATAAAGATACTAGTTTGTTACATTACTGTGACGTCGTGTTCCTTCTTTCACCAACACGCAATAATTAATTAGTCATAGGATAGACCTTTTCTTTATGTATTTTTCGTGTACTCGCCTAAATTTGCATGTTATAAGTAAATTTAAATCACTAAAATAACAGATAAATTTAACACAACTAAAATAAGTTTTAGTCGTGATGAAACTGTTGAACAAGTTCGTTGCTTCTAACAGCAATGAATTAAAGGCAAAGATGATTCAGATACTCACAAGATGTTACTGTGTTTTACAGTTTACCGCAGTGCATACAGGTCGCAATCTCGTTGAGCATACTATTCACGTATGCGTTGCAATTCTACGTTCCCATTGCGATTATTTGGCCAAAGATTGTCAACCGTTTTGGTCCTTTCAAATGGCCTGTCTTATCCGAGACTATTTTCCGTTCCGCAATGTGTTTCCTAACGTGTAAGTTTTCACATTGAATTAATTTCAAAACTGAATAAATCTTATATTAAAAATCATGATCCGATGAAGACTGAAACTTTTTCTGAACTTCAATCGTCGTTTCTTTTTGATCGCATTCATGAAAATGTATGAAAGTCAATCTGATCTAATTTCTATTTAATTGCAGTTGTCCTAGCCGAGGCGATACCTCAATTAGGTCTTTTCATATCACTGGTTGGCGCAGTAAGCAGCACCGCCCTGGCATTGATATTTCCACCGCTCATCGAGATGGTTGTGTGCTGGCAGAACGCGTCGTTGGGTTTCTTTACGATATCGAAAGATATCGTGATAGTACTGATCGGCCTTCTGGGCTTCGTCACCGGAACGTATGAGAGCCTTACCTCGATCATTCAAGCGTTTAGCACGTAACTAGGCTAGCTCGTTGTATAAATCGTTGTTAATATACTTTTTATTTGTATATGTATATGATATATACGCGATACTAATGGATCATGACATCTATCCGATTACATTGGGAATGATTTGGATAAA